AGTGTGTCACAGGAGAGAGGCGACTGGTGAGTGATCTCTTGGCCAGTGACGGACTCTAGAGAGGTCTTCGCCAGGGCAGGTCAGCAGCATCTCCCCGTGTAACCACCACAGGAGGGAGGAACACTGACGACTGACCTCTCTTTTTAAACGAAAACAAAAAGAATGGCCTCTCCTCTCCCCAGCCTGGTCTCCCTCCCAGAGATGCCCACTGTCTACTCCAGACTCTGGCTCCCAAAGAGGTGGCAGCAGCCCTGTCCATGCACACCAAGCAGAAGCCCATGCCAGGCCTGGCCAGGCCTGGCTACAGGACCAGCCTCCACCCGTCCTCCTGTCACCAACCCTGTGGGGGACACATATGTCCCCTCGTACAGACGAGGAAGCTGCGCCCAAGAAGGGAAGGGTCGCAGCCTGTCCATCCCAGTCCTTGCTCTGGCTCCGCCTCCCGGCTTGCTGCAGAGGGCTGGCCTGCTCAGGGCCTGGGGTGGGTGGAGAGGCTGGGTCCTGCTGGGGTCCTGCTGGGGTCCTGCTGGGGTCCCGCAGGCCCTGCGAGGTTGGATCCTTCCTTGATGCTGGGCTCTCCGTGGGCCTGAGAGCCTTTGCCTTATCAAGACCTGGTAGGAGCAGCCCGCGGTTTCCTCCTTGTTTACGGCATCTCCACATAAACACACTTGAGAGCCTTCTGAGAATGTGCATGGCCAGAAGGCAGGATCCCAGGGGACCCCCGCTGCCCCCCCTCCGTGGAGGGACGATGAGGGTGGCCACCACCACCATTCTGTAGGAGCCTGGGCTGCTCTGTCCCTTCCTGCCCCTGCTGTTTCCCTCCACACCCCTTCCTCCCGGGGCCAAAGAGGGAAACCTCCGGATTATTTTTTTCCTGGTGGCTTGGAATAAAAGACTCAAAATCCCTTTGCTCAGTGAACATGCCAAGCTCCTGAGACATGCACCTATTCTCACTTACCATGATGTAACTGCATGCTAAGTGCCACTTGGACACACTCATTAAATACTCAGCAAAATGTCACCTACATTTTTCAGATGAGGAAACCGTAGGACTCTAGGCAGCACACCTCCTATGAAGGGAATTAACACTTCTGTCAGGGGTTGTGGCTCAGTGGTGGAACGCTGGCCTAGCACTGTGAGGCCCTGGGTTCTTTCCTCAGCACCACATTCAAAAAAAATAATAATAAATGAATGAAAGGAAGGTGTTGTGACCAACTACCAAATAACAACAACAACAACAAAAACACCACTTCTGTCTCAATCCCAGCGATGCCGGAGGTTGAGGAAGGAGGATGGCAAGTTTGAGGCCAGCCTGGGCAACTTAGCAAACCCAGCTTAAAATAAAAAATCAGAGGGATGGGATGGCTGGGCCTGGTGGTGCATGCCTGTAATCCCAGTGGCCTGGAAGGCTCAGGAGATCCTGTCTCTAACTAAAATACAAAAGAGGGCTGGGGCGTGGCTCAGTGGGAGTTCTTGCCTAGCATGTGCCAGGCCCTGCGTTCCATCCCCAGCACTGGGACAACCGCAAACCTGTCCTGGAAACTCATCTTAGAGCCTCTTAAAACTATAAGTTGATGCCCTGGGAAGACACAAAGCTCTAGTTAGTTCACTCTTGGAATTTTACCAGAAGCTCCTAAGCATTGACTACCAACACCGACATCCGGAAAGGCACCCAGAAGGCCTGACTTGTCGCCCAGCGTAGCTGCCCTTGGTCCAGAGGGTAAAAGGCTTGTTCATGGAAGATAGAAGACTGGCCCACGGAAGGTGCCAGGCCAGCCCATGAAGGTTATGCAGCTCTGGGGGAGTTAGGAGCAGCACCCAGAGGAGCAGTTCTTGGAGAAAACTCAGGCAGACGTAATGAGGGAAAGGCAACAAAGGGCTTCAGCAGGAAAAGTAGGCCAGCACGTCCTCAAAGCCCTGCTCCCGGAGCCACTGGGATCACAAGCGTGTGCACTGCACCCGGCAGCACTTTTTGTTTTTAAGGTAGTTTTTTGAAATTGGACCTTTAGGAAGCGGGGACTATGGTCAGAGCCAAGCAGCAGAAGGCAGCGGTCTCTTGGCTCAGATGACTATGTAAGTTTGAAACTAGAACGTGTTTAGATTCCAGTTCCCAGGGTGGTTCCCACACAGGCGTGTGAAATTGGCCCTGCCGAGTCTTGAAATCTGGACTCCCTCACCTTCTTCACAGATGCATATTCTCGTGGACATCTCCAGAGCGTTCATGTGACATGGTTTTGTCCACTTCGTGAGCCTGCTGATTCTAGCTTCCTGCCTACACTGAGTCCTGTGTGCCCAGGACACACGTTAGCCATCCCTGCTCCCTCTGAGGCCTGTGCCTTGATCAGCTCTTGAGTCCCTGAGGAGCAGGGACATCTATGGTTGTTTGGCTGCTTGTCTCCCAGGGGCTATGGATGACCCATAGGGCAGGGCATCTACCCTCTTCCACTCCAGAAGGCCAGATGGCCCCAGGCTCACCCCACCCCATGCAGTGAGGGCACAGAGACAGGACGGACTCTCTTTATGTAATGCCAGGACAAAAGTTAAAAGAGGAAAAAAAAAAAAAACAGTAAGCAAACTGCTGTGGACAACAAGATCCTGATCCCTGGCCCCGATCAGGTGGACTAAGCTGTTGTGAACCTCCATTCTTAACTATGAGCCTCCAGGATTCCTGGGGAGAGGCCAAGAGAGACTCTCATAATGCAAGGGATGTGGCTTGTTGGTTGGGAAGGCTGGGTGGACACAGGGCGGCCTCCATTGCCCTGGATGAGCAGGTGCCAAGAGCACCCATGGGTACCCAGCAAGCGCTGGTCCTAGTCACGGGATGGCATGAGGCCACACAGACTCAGGACTGGAGAGACCCAGGCCTTTTCTGGCCAGCACACTCTGAGCCGTGAACACCCCAAGTGAGGTGAGAGCCCAGTGTCCAGGAAGAGGAGGTACAGGATCCCCGCACCCCAGGGCCCTGCCTTGGGCCTGAAGGTCCTCTGGGGTAGCTGGGGGGACAGGCCTCATGGCCCTTGGTGGTCGGGGCCAATGGTTAGTCCTAGTGCCCTTCTCCCCTGGAAGAAGGGGAAAGGCAGAGGGGACAGCCTCTGGAGATGTCCTAGCTGTTGGCTGTGAGGTCCCAGCCCGGCTGCAGGGCGGCCAGGCTCCCCACAGGTCTGGGTTTCCTTCTTTCCAGGTGGTTCAGCTTTCTAGCCCTGGCTGCTGGGGACTTTGCCCTTTCAGACTCTGCAGAGCACAGCTCCCATGCAGCCTCGACTCTGCAGCTTCCTGGGGTCTTCTGGAGATTTCTGAGCTGCCCCCATTTCCCAAGATGTCGGCTCTGAACGTGCCTAAACCCACATCATCTCACTTAGGGGCGTCCCTGAGAGACCTGTGCTGGTTTTGCTGCTTTATCGACTAGGAGGGTGGGCCTGGAGCCTGGGGAAGGGACTTGTCTAAGGTCACATAGCCAGCTTGGTGGCAGAACAAAGCTTCTCCCCAGGCCTGTGGACCCAAAGCTTATAATTGTCACTTTGCCACCTTCCTTTGCCCCTTCTCTTCCTTGGAGTGAGTGGGGGCTCAGGGATCATGGATGTCCACGTGCTAGCCATGTGGCTCATGGGAGTGCAACCTGCCCCCGAGTTGGGGACCCCACCATCTGAGGGCTTAGACCTTCCCATTCCCTCTTGGCCGTGGCCTGCCCCAGGGCCCGGGGGAAAGGTCTGAACAGGGAGGAGGCCAGATGAGCCCTGTGAGTCTGCCCTGCTCCTGAGAGTTGCAGCTCCTGGCTCTGTGTTTGCCACAGGAAGCCCTATGATGAGGGCTGGACTGTCCCCACTACCCAGACTGCAGGTCAGCCCCTACCTCCTCTCCAGTCCTCAGTGTCCCCAAGCTCATCTCATTTTCCTTCCCTCATCTCCACAGTCAGGAAAATAGGTGGGGGAACAGTGGGTGTGCCAGGCCAGCCCGAGCTGAGGGGGTAGGTTATGTCTGGCAGCTGCTCCCTTGGGGCCCAGGAAGTCAGCAGACCTGGGAGCCCTGTGTTTGCCCAGCTCTGCGCTCTCCCCAGGGCTTCTCAGCAGCACCCAGAGGTTCCAGCTGTGCATTCTTGGCTTATTTACTGTTGTATGCAGCGGAGTCCTTGGCACCCTGGTCTAGACGGATGCCACCAGCCAAGCTCAGGAGATGAATGTATACCCAGAAAACCAGGGGGAGCCACCTCAGGCAGGGCAGGGAGGCAGCCGGATGTCACTAGTTCTCAAGGGTCACTCTGCATGACCATCTTGAACTCAGGCCCAGGCCGGGTCACCTAGGAATTGGGCTATTACCATGATGGTCACTGACCCTCACCGTTTAGGGGCTTTAGCCTGAGGTGGCCTTTGACCGCTGTCAATGCTGTGTGAATGCTGCCAGCCCTGGGCACTGGCAGAGCCCTCGGCCCCTGCGAGGCAGGCATGGGTCCTGCCCATTCCTTTCCAGGGCTCTGATCACTCCCTAAGGGCCCACGGGGATTTCAGCTGTTCAGAATGTGCACGGTGGTGCGTGTGTTCTGGTGATGGGGCGGGACGGAGCGTGCTCCGCCCCTGTGTCCTTGTCACAGGGGGCTGCGTTTGGGTGTCCTGCCCCAGGTGGCCTCTCTGTCTTGGTGGCAGCCCCTCTCTTAAAGGTCTGATTCTGTTCATCTGGCGTGGAGCAGTCAACTCCCGGGGGACCCCAGAGCCCGTCTCCCAGGATCCTGGGGACCATGTGCTCCTGTGCTTCCCACAGCCTCCTGGTGCCAGGCTGTTTATGTGTGGAGTTCCTGGGAAGGCAGTCCTGGTGGGGGCTCCTCGGGGTCACACTCCCAGTCCCCAAGCCCAGACAGTGACTCATGGGACTGAAGGGGACTGAAGGGCTGGAAGGAGGAAGGAGGAGCCTCCAGTCGCTGTTGAGCAGTGACAGTCCTACTCCACAGTTCTACCCTGTTCTCCATCTTTACGGTCAGCCTCTCAGACCCCCTGAGGGTAGTGATAGCCATGGTCAGCCACCGCGCAGGCCAACAGAGGCACACAGCCCAGAGCAGCCTCTCTGTGTCCTTGGGCTTTGTCCTTGATCCCACCCAGAGCTGCTCAAGGTGTGATTTGGGGGCACTGACTGGAGAGGCTGTTGGTCGCAATGAGGGTTTCTGGGCCTCACTTGGACAGAGGAAAGGTATCAGGTCTGGGAGGAGGTGGGAGCCAGCACTTGGGTTTGTGCCATCCATCCTTCCTGGGGTCCCTCTTGCCCCCAGGGGCAGTTTCTGATGACATCACTTCCAGCTAGGGAGCTGATGGCACAGTGAGGTGGGCTGGCGGGCAGCCCTGGCGGGGGTTTACCTGTGCTCAGGGGAGCAGAAGGGGGCTGGGGTGCAGCATTATTGTCTCTTCCCTGGATTCCCCCATCCCAGTGATATGGCCCCCACAATAGGGTCATGGGGCAAAGGTCATGAGAGGGTAAGGAGCAGGGGTTTGGGGCTGAGGAGAGAAGTACCAGGAGGCAGGTGGGGAGTGACTCTCTGTGAGCCTTTTGGGGAGTGGCTCTGGGTCTGGGGGAGACTGGGGGCTTCTGTGCAGCCCTGGAAGGTCCAGCACCTGGAGCGGGGCTGCAGGCCTCGGGAGGAGGCAGCCAGCAGGTGGACTGCAATGTGGGGCTGCGGGTGGCCGCAGCCGTGGACCCCAGGGGTGAGCCTCCTTGGAGCACCTTGACTTGGGGGCTGGTGGAGGCATCCTGGGGGTGTGTCTGAAAGGTGGGGCAGGAGATGGGACACGGTGACAAGGGCTGGAGGGTGGCTTCCTCTCTCTGAGGCTGTCTTCTCATCTGTAAAACCGGCTGCCGCCAGGGGTCCGGGAGGAAAAGCTGCTCCTGGAAGCCGGTCTCCCCGCCGCTGTGGTCTGGTTGGGCGCGGGGGTCCGAGGTGAGCGCGGTCTGGGTCCAGCGTCCCCGCGGGCTCCGGGGCGGTCCTGCTCCCTGGCGCCATTCCAGCCGCGTCGGGCGGGGCGGCGGGGCGGCCGCTGTCGGTCTGTCTGTCCGCAGGCTCCCAGGGGTGCGAGCAGCCAGCGGAATGGTAAGTGACCGCGGCGGGAGGGATCGGCCCCGAGGGCGCCGCCTGGGTCATTTCTGCCCTTTTTGAGCCACCAACGCCCTCCGGGGCTGCGGGCTGCGCTGGTCGACCCTTCCTGGTGGCAGGGGACGTCTCTTGCCCAGCACCCGCCCCGTCGGGCTGGGACAAGGGTGCACCGGAGCAGGGGTAGCGGGGACCCTGGGAGTGGCCCTGCCAAAGGTGTCGGAGACTTAGGCTTTGAAGGGTTCAGGTGATAGAGAATAACCAACCGAGTTTGGGATCAGGCATTGTCGTTTTTTAGCGTTTTCACTCTCTCCCTTGATCCCCACACTGATTGGGTCCCCACAGCCAGATTGGTGGTCACCATGCCCCTCGGTAGCCAGCCAGGGCCTGTGTCAGAACTTTCCATGGATTAAACTCCTGGATCCTCCTAAAAAAGAGGACCACGGTTCAATTCCAGGCTTATGACTTCTCTCCCAGAAGTCACAAGCCTGGAATTGGGTTTGAATAGGGGCAGACCTCTTGATACTGAGCCTTGTGCCACTTTACAGAGGCACAAACTGAGTGCTTCTCCTAAAGTCCCCAGCTTCAGAGGGAGACACCCACTACCCACTGGAGGCTAACCATGGCAAAGCCCGGGCTCCGGAGGACCTGTCATTTATTCAGAGGTTTCAAGGAGATCAAGATATTTAAAATCAAATGGCCCTGCTTTATTGTTTTAAGGAGGCACGTTTTTATGTCTCTGAAATTGTAATGCACTTTAAAGGGATGGGAGAGGTCCCCCCCTTCCCTCCCTACATAAAAAATGGTCATCTTAGCGGGCACCTTTGGTTTGATGAGTGGGGACAGAGCCAGGATTCCCTAGCTGACTTTTCTGGATATCTCTTCCCTCTATTCTACAGACTCCTCTCTGCCTCAATTGCTCCATTTTCCCTGGAGACCTGTCCCTAGGGGAAGCAAGGAGCCCCTCACCGTGCAATGGCAGTGAGGCCACGGGGCACTTTGACCCTGAGGACTTGAACCTGACAGACGAGGCCCTGAGACTCAAGTACCTGGGGCCGCAGCAGTCAGAGCTGTTTGCGCCTATCTGTGCCACATACCTGCTGATCTTTGTGGTGGGCACCGTGGGCAACGGGCTGACCTGCCTGGTCATCCTTCGCCACAAGGCCATGCGCACGCCCACCAATTTCTACCTCTTTAGCCTAGCAGTATCAGACCTGCTGACGCTGCTGGTGGGGCTGCCCCTGGAGCTCTATGAGATGTGGCACAATTACCCCTTCCTGCTGGGCGTTGGTGGCTGCTACTTCCGCACGCTGCTGTTCGAGACAGTCTGCCTGGCCTCCGTGCTCAACGTCACCACTCTGAGCGTGGAGCGCTACATAGCCGTAGTGCATCCATTCCAGGCCAGGACTGTGGTGACACGGGCCAATGTGCGCCGCAGGCTCGGGGCCATCTGGGGCCTCGCCTTGCTCTGCTCTCTGCCCAACACCAGCTTGCATGGCCTCCAGCAGCTGCATGTGCCCTGCCGGGGCCCAGTGCCAGACTCAGCTGTGTGTATGGTGGTCCGCCCCCGGGCCCTGTACAACCTGGTGGTGCAGGCCACCGCATTGCTCTTCTTCTGCCTACCCATGGCCACCATCAGCGTGCTCTACCTGCTCGTGGGGCTGCGGCTGCAACAGGAGGCCAAGGGCAGGGGCATCAGAGTGGCCAGGGGTGGTGACACCCCCAGAGTCCCACTGCAGGATAGAGGCCGGAGACAAGTGACGAAGATGCTGTGTAAGTGTTGCAGCTGGGATGGGGGACTGAGCCAGGCTCTGGGTATGACATGGGGATCCAGGGGCCTGGTGAAGGAGCGGAATGCCCCGCTCTCTGGAGCCAAGTGGGTGGTTTGGAGGACGTCGCCTACCCTATTAGTTTGTGTGTCCACCTTAACAGGTACAGGGACTCTTTTAGACTGTTAGAAATTTATGCCAGAGATAAATGTTAATGGCTTACAGTTAGGATTGATTACATAATCCGTGAGGCTCAATACAAAACAAATACTCAGAATCTCCAAAAATTATTAAGAATGTCAGGTCAGCAGCAATAGAGCATTAAGCCAAGACCAGGGCCCTTCTAAGCTTGGGACCCTAGCCTTGTGCAAATGTCAAGGTGACACACACACCCATCTAGCCCTGGTCCCAGAAATTTGTGTGGCTGGGCTTCAGGAGGACAGAAACAGGTCTCTGAACCCTCCAGGACTCTCATCGTTGCTCTTGAACATTCTTGGCCCTGTTCTGTCCTGTAGCAGCTGTCAGCACAGCCACTGCCCAGTCCCCTCTTCTGGGGAGCTGCCCTCTTCCCTTCATAGCTATTGAAAATTCGGATTGGTAAGCTTAGGTCATGGTTCACCTCCTGGGCCAGAGGGAAGGATGCTGGGATTTACAGTCCCCTGAGGAACCACACAGAGGGATCCAGGGGAACAAGTTCCCCAAAAGAGGGGCAGGAGGGCTGGAGATGCAAGATGGGGATTTCCTGCAAGCTGTCTATGCTTCTTGGGAGCCCTGGGAAAGGCCATTTGTACTCAAGAGGCTCTTCAGGAGATGTGTTTGTGTGCAGACCAGAGGAATCAGGACAGAAGTGACCATTGTGGCAGACCAGGGCACTCCACTCTGGACCTTACTGTGACCAAGACCTGGCTGCACCCAGGTCAGCACCCTCAGCAGGGCCTAAGTCAAGTGGGGAGGGGGTGTCAAGGGCAGAACAAACCTGCTAAGACCTTAGTTAGGGCCAGCTGACTGGGGTGAGCCCTATCCCCAGAACAAGACCCACCCACTCCCCTTGCCATTCAGGAACAGTGTCTCAGAGTCTGGGGTCACTTGTGTGGCCCTGCGATGGGACTGGCCAAGCATTGTGCTGGCCTCCCACCTCTGCATCACGAAGCCTGCACTACCAACCACTTCCCCTGCCTGTGTGCCCCCTACTATTGTCACCCCTCTCCCCCTAAACATGTGTGGAGCCTGCAGTGGGCTCAGCCAGGGCCCTCTCACCCCTGGGAAGGTGGTCTATTTGCTTGCAGACCTGGGACCCACTGACCTTCTCCCCTCCTCACTCCATCCACCTCCCAAGGAACTGCTGTGTACCTGGCTGTGTGCTGTGACACGCTCTGTTTGACATTTGGGATTAGAGGAACACCTTGCTAGGGTGTGATGGGGAGGCACAGCAGCGGAGGACAGTGAGCTGGAGAAGAGAGCGCACAAACCAAGGCCACCCAGTGGCCCAGACCTCAGGAAGGACGCAGAGGGTTAATCCCTGGGGCAAAGAGAAGTCAGAAGGGGTGGGGTCCTGGCTAGTCCATCCTGCCACTGCTGGGGAGGGACCCGGAAGCAGGGGGCCTCTCCAGGAGGGGGGTTAGCGCAGCAGGTCTTCAGCTGAGCCAGGGGGGTTGGGGGCAGAAGCTGGGAAGGCTGGGCCAGGGCAGGTGGGGGTCTCTGTGGTCTCATGACCTTGTTGCCTGATCCATTCTCCTGCCTTTCTGTCCTTTCATGTCAGCAAGTATGGCCTCAGAGAAGGCCTGGCTCGCAGTCTGTCACACTAGGGGTTCAGCAGTCCCTGCTGGGAGTCCCCCAGTTCCAAATTCCATGGGAGAGGGTCTGTTGGGCCAGTTGGGCTCAGGTGTCCACAGCTAGTTCAGTGGACATGGCCAGAAGCAAAGACCATGACCCACTCAGTCAGAGGGGAAAGGGTCTCTCCAAGGGACATGGCCAGGATAGGACATTTCCAGAAGCTCCTGGGAGGGTGCAGTGCTGGGTGGGCTGTGGGGTAGGAGGAGGCGAGATGGAAGGCAGGCAGAGCCCCCAGCACCCAGCCTGCCCTCTCTGTCTCCACAGATGTGCTGGTCGTGGTCTTTGGCATCTGCTGGGCCCCGTTCCATGCTGACCGCCTCATGTGGAGCTTGGTGTCCCACTGGACAGAGGGTCTGCTCCTGGCCTTCCAGTGCGTCCACCTCGTCTCTGGCGTCTTCTTCTACCTTGGTTCAGCTGTGAACCCTGTGCTCTACAGCCTCATGTCCACCCGTTTCCAGGAGACTTTCCGGGAAGCCCTGGGCCTCGGCACCCACTGCTGCCGCCCGCTCCCCCACCACAGCTCGCACAGCCTCAGCAGGCTGACCGTGGGCAGCTCCCTGTATACTGTAGGCGCCCATGGAAGCAGGGCCCAGGCCCTGGCTGACAACGATGGCCAAGAGGGACAGCAGGAAACAGAACCCTCCTAAATGGAGAAGCATCCTCTTCCTGAGGGCCACATGCCATCAGGGGGAGCCTCACCTGCGATCCTCTGCCAGGACATCCTCATGACCGGTCCCTGACTTACCCTAGACCCTCTGACCAGCACCTTAGCAACTCCTGTCCCTGACCACGTATTTGAGATTTGAGGGAAACAAACACTGATCCCTGAGTATTGAGGACACACATTGTGCCAGGGGACATGCATGCGCTTCGTCTCTCCAGACCCTCAGCCCCAGCTAAAAGCCCTGCAGAACCGTCTCAGGTAGCTGGGGGAGGGAGGCCAGTGGGTCCTCCCTTTGAGGTCCTTCCATTTCTTTCTGCAGATTCGGGCCTGCACCTGGGACGCTCCTCCCACCTAGACTTTCCCTGGCCTCCATTCCGCTCCGGGATGGGTGCCTGGTGGAGATGATGGCGGCAGGGGTTTCCAGGGACCCAGGGTCCTGGTTCTAGTCTTAGCCCTGCTGCCACCACTTTGCCTCTTGGCATCAGGCAACCCCACCCACCCCCCCACATTCTAAGCTTTGGTTCCTTGTTTGAAAAACCAAAGGTACCCTGACATTCCCCAGTGTCACACTTTGGCACTAGCTGCGGTTTTCTGTGTGTGTGTGCGTCACTGCTTTTAAACTTATTTTTTGAATATACTTTTCGTTGTAGATGAACACACAATATGTTTATTTATTTTTCTGTGGTGCAGAGGGTCAAACCCAGTGCTTCACACACATGCAAAGGCAAATGCTTTACCATTGAGCTACAGCCCCAGCCCATATCAGATGCCCTCAGATTAGCAGGGGAGAAATTACTCTCTACATCCTTATCACCTTCGAACCCTGCTTCCTCCCTGACCTGCCCAGGGCAGGTTCTTCACTTGTCCTAGAGCAGGTGGGGCGAGCGTGTGAGCACTGTTCCCTCTGCCCGCCGCCCTCCCCACCTCCAGGTAGGCTGGCCTGGGTACCGCGAGGGAGAAGAGCACTGGACCTGCATGCCGCAGTCTGGCTGGGCACAGAATCACGAGCCACCACACACCTTGTAGATTCAAACAGCAATTCTTTATTCCCGAACTCACACCAGCACTCTACAAACACGTTCTGGGGAAATTCACGTTCTTCTCCCAAATTCACGTACTCCACCAGGCTTTGAATCCCAAATACTTTCTGAATCCCAAGAGAACTCAACGGGAACTCAGCAGGATACGCCCTATTCCCAGCAGGAATAACCTTAAACCTGGAACCGCCCTAAACCCAGATTGTTCTAAACCGGGAACGCCCTAAACCCAAGGAGCGGAATACTCCCTAAAACCTGCAGGATACACCCTAAACCTGGATCCGCCCTAATCCAGTAGGATCCTCCCTAAACCCGGATCCACCCTGGTCCTTGAGCAGGGTCACCTTTCTCAAACATACATGCAATGTCACAGCGAATGTCCAAGGCAAGTCCATTTCCACGAGTCCTTCCTCTAAGCAACATGGGGTACGCTGGCAAGGAAATTTTGATGCGTCATTCCTACTTGGCAATGGCCCTCAGCACCTGCAGGCTTAAGGATCTCAGTGGCAAGAGGCATGGGACGGTTAGGGGCTGGGAGTGACTCTTCATGGACAGCCCTTCTGGACTTAATGACAGGGGAACAGGGATGAGTAGCCATGAAATTCTATCACATCCCTGGGACCTACCCAGTGCTTAGTCAAGACTCAATTAATGAATGAAACTTGTCCTGAGGCAAATCCATTGGTCTTTTCCTCCTGAGAGGAGGCCTGGCATCCATGGATGGGAGGTGCAGGGAGACCTGGGGTCTGTCCATCTGGGTTGACCTGCAGACAACCTGCCGGCTGGAGCCCTGGTGGAGGGATGGTACAGGGTTGCAGGTAACATTGTTTGTCAATCATATAAACTATAAAGCCAGTTGTAGATATTTAGGAAGTACAAATAAGCAAATGAAAACTAATTTAAAAAAATTAGAAACCTCACCAGGGGCTGCAGGGAGAGAGGAAGCAGGAGCCGCTTAATGGTGCAGTTTCTGTTTCACAGATGAAAAGTTTCTGCACAACAACACAGATATACTGAATAATGCTTAACCGTCCTCTTTGGTTAAGATGCAAACTCTACATTAAAATAATTAAAAAAAAAAAAAAAGGATTGTCTAAAGGAAGAGGGAAAATTTAAAAGCCACCATCACGGAGGTCTGTTGAGGCGACCCTGTCTACATTTTGGTGTTTCTCAGAAGCATGTTTTATGGGCAGCACCCACCATACACACACACACACACACACACACACACACACACCCCTGCCTGCCTCCTCCCCAGCGGGCGTTCTAACCAAACTCAAGGGCCTTGGCCAGCCCTGGGTGAGTCTCCTGTGTCCTGCACAAGCCATAGGGGGCCCTTGGGTGGGGAGGAGGAAGGGGAGCTGGCAACTGAAGGCCCGTGAGGGACTCTGCAGAGACAGGAGCACCCAAGGTCCCTTTGACACAGTTGCCAGGAGACCTTGTCATGCACCCTGAAGTTATTCCCGATGATCAACTCTGGACTCCAGGGGGCCTCTCTTTAGGAGCACAGGTCACCATGGCCACTGAGAGAGGCCTCTGGCAGCTGGTCTCCGTGGTAACCAGTGGCCTATGACATATGGAACTGGTCCACCGACATGCCTTGGAGACACGGGTTCACACCTAAGGGCGCCCTTCTCATTTGCCTCCGCCTCCCTCAGTCTGACCAGCGCTTCTCAGCTTCATGGAGAGTGGGAAGAGCAGCTCCAAGCTCAGCCCTTGAAGAGGATAGAAATGGAGGTCAGCAGCAAGGCCTGGCTGAGGTGCCCTCTCCTGCCTGACACGTGCCTGGTGACAGCCTGGAAGAGCAGCCCCTGCAGGAGTTGCTGCTGACTCTTCTGCACTGGTCAAGGGGGGCTGTGTCCCCTGGGTCCCAGAGTCGCACTCAGGCCAGAGTCCCCCACTCTCTTGAAAGTATCTGGCTGTTCTGGGGCTCAGTTGCTGCACCTCCTAATAGGTCACACATCCCTCTTCCTCCAGAGTCTGGGCCCATCTGTCCCATCCTGCCATTACCCTGGGACTTTGATGTCCTTGTCGATGGTCCCCTGCTGCTCTGGGAACCACAGCCTGAGTGTGGCTGCTGTTTAGCCTGCTGCCCCCAAGTCAGAATTGTGTGTGTGTGTGTATTTTTTCCCTTTGTTGGTACTCGGGATTGAGCCCAGAGTCTCGTGCATGTGAGGCAAGTGCTGTACCACTGATGTACACCCCCACCTTCCTCCCTTTTTAAAAAAATATTTTTAGTTGGACACAATAGCTTTATTTAATTAATTAATTTATTTTTATGTGATATTGAGGATCGAACTCAGGGCCTCACATGGGCTAGGCCAGTGCTTTACTGCTGAGCCACAATTGCAGCCCTATCCCAGCTCCCCCTTTTAAAAAATATTTGAGACAGGGTCTCAGCTGAGTTGCAGAGGCTGGCCTTGAACATGCCACCCTGCCTCAGTCTCCCAAGTTGCAGGGTTTAACAGGTGTGCACCACTGTGCCTACTAATGGATTAATCAGATTTTCTTTGCCCTAAATTTCCCTTGTAGGGAGGACCTGCCTTGTTTTTTACTGTGTGTGTGTGTGTGTGTGTGTGTGTGTGTGTGTCCTAGCATTTGATCTCCCTTCCTATCATATCAGGGGTCCCTCATTGAATAACTGGGATACCAGACCCAGCTTCCTCCTACGGAAGCTGAAAGACCTCTGGACACTCTGTCACCCCTGAGGGTGCATGAAGAACTCAGCTGGTGGGATGACTTGATGTGGGACTTGTATCTTAAGCCAATGACCAAGACATACAACAGCAGGAAGAGGCTTGTCCAGGGGCAGCAGTGCTGACAGCAGCATCCTGCCCGGCCTCTCTTGAGTTCTGACTTTTATCTCAGCCAGGTTCTCTAGCCTTCTTGCTACCAAGAGGTTTTTTTTTGTTTTTTTTTTTTAACACATTTTCATCTTTTTGGGTTGGCCACAGTCATTTTGCAATCAAGAATCTTAACAGACTCATCTGTTCACTGGTATGAAAGTTACAGTTTGTTGTACCAGTGATTATCTTTGCACATTTCTGAGATGAGCAGATATTATCACTGCTTTGTGTGTGTGTGTGTGTGTGTGTGTGTGTGTGTGTGTGTGCTGGGGTTGAACCCAGGGGTGCGTAACCATTGAGCAACACCCCAGATCTTTCTTATTTTTTTATTTTGAGACAGTGTCTCACAAGTAGCTGAGGCTAGCCTCAAACTTTGTGATCCTTGTGCCTCAGCCTCCTGAGACTGGATTACAAGTGTGCAACACCAGCCCCAGCTATTTTTTTTTAAACCCCAACTACATTCTGTGATGCTTATTGTTTTTTGTTTGTTTGTTTTCTTTCAGTGCTGGGGATAAACCCAGGGCATTCTGCATACTAGGTAAACATGCTACAACTGAGCTACACTCCCAGCCCTCCCTGTTTTTAAATATAGGAAAAATATTTTAAAAATTAAAAATGACAGATTTTAGGAATTTGATCTTAAATACATACTTATATCTTTTCTGACAGTCTAAACCTTTTAGCACAAGAAAAGAACCTCATATGCTTCTACAGACAAAGCAGTAGAGTTAGAGCTGGTGAGTCAGAGTGGCCTTAGGCCAAAGTCAGACTGGACAGAAAGGTATCTACATTTCTAAACAAAAAATGCACACAAATAAAACAGGACTGCTGCGGCTGGGGTGGTGGCTCCGTGGCAGAGCGCTTGCCTAGCACATGTGAGGCACTGGGTTCAATCCTCAGCACCACATAAAAATGAATCTATAAAATGAAGGTATTGTGTGCATCTACAACTAAATATATTTTTTTAAAAGGGGGGAGCTGCTGGGTGTGCTGGTGCATGCTTGCAATCCCAGCAACTCTGGAGACTGAGGAAGGAGGATCGCAAGTTCAAAGCCAGCCTCAGCAACTTAGTGAGGCCCTGGGCAACTTGTCTCAAAATAAAACATATCTTAAAAAAGGGGGGTAGGGTGTATGCTAGGGATGTGGCTCAGTGGTTAAGGACCCTTGGGTTCAACCCCTGGTACCAAAAAGAAAAGAAAAGAAAAGAAAAAAAAACCCAAGGCTAACATTGATAGTCATCCACTCCCTTGAGTGTCCAAGTTATAAGGTTACAAGGTTTAATCTGAGGATGGTAGTGGCTCTTTAAGGTAAGTGTCCCTTTCGTGTGGCTTCATTTAAGGCAATAACCCAACCTCATGCTGATTCTTGCTTCTGCAGACAAAGGCTAGGGAAAGTTAGGGGCTGGGCAGGAGGGGAGGCTGAGGCCCAGTGGTGACCGTAGGGATCAAGGTAATTCCTGGTAGGTTAAGAGTACTGGCTCAGAAAAGGTGGTATGGCTGGGGTTACAGCCTGAAGCTGCAGCGTATTTCCTGCAACATATGCAAGGGTGCCTTGGATCTTTGAATCTAACATGTAAGCCCCTTGTTGACTCAGCATGTGGGCGTCACTCA